CTCAGCCCTGCCCAGCACTCCTAGCCTCCCCCCATCCCTGCCTGACACCCCGTGCTGTCTGTGGGGCAAGCCAGCCCCTTCCTGGGCAGCGTCAGATGTCCTGCTGGCTGCAGAAGCCTCCTGAAGGCAGAAGCAGTGTGGGGCCTGATCCTACCCGTTGAGGAGCCTCCCTGCCTGCCCTGGGGCTGGGGGATGAGCTGCTGAACTGCGGAGGGGCCTGGTCCTTCCCTGCGGTGGCAGTGCCCCCCAGGGCGTGCTGCCAGCGGGCCATGTGCTGCCTGAGCTCACAGGGGCTTGATCCAACTTCCCGGGAGCCTGCCAGCATGCTGCCTCCCCAGGCGGCAGGGCACAGTGCGGGCTGAGCCATTCACAGGGGACGGTGTATAAGTTGAGGTGGAAATTTAAAGGTAAATATTTTGGCTTCAAACCTCAACTTATTCACTGTGAAACACGGTATATAGTCTCGAGAAGACCAAGGGGGGATTTAATAGCAGCCTTCAACTCCCTGCAAGGTGGGTGCAAAGAGGATGGAGCTGGACTCTTCCCAGGTGACAGGACAAGGAGCAGTGGGCTCAAGTTGCAGCAATGGATGTTTAGGTTGGATATTGGGAAAAAACTTTCTCACTAGGAGGGTGGTGAAGCACTGGAACAGGTTGCCCAGAGAGGCGGTGCAATCTCCGTCCTTGGAGGTTTTTAAGGCTGAGCTTGACAAAGCCTTGGCTGGAATGATCTAGTTGGGGGTGGTCCTGTTTTGAGCTGGGGGTTGGACTAGATGTGACCTCCTGAGGTCCCTTCCACCTGTAATTTTCTATGATTACCTGATTCTATGATTCATGGAGAGTTTTGTGAAATGTAACCCCAAAACCCACATCACACTGGCCTGTTCTGTGGGTTTGTTCCCTAAACTCTAACAACGTGGCTTTCACTCCTGGTGCATCCAGCAAATAACAACGTCTTAAGCTGCATTTTCTACTTCCCTATGCTACCAATGGGGAAAGCAGTTGTTGTAATGCTCCTGGTGAGGCAACAGCAAAGCTGGAAGGTGCAAGCAGTCGCATTCGCTCCTGTAGGAGGGATTCCTTCAGTCAAGGAGGCTGAGAGAGATCGCGCTCACCAGCTGGTGAAGACGTTGGATCACAAACCACCCCCCGGCCCCACGTCTCCCCAAGGCTGTTCTAGTGGGATGAGCTGCTAACAGGACTTTGTAACCCGGTGCCTACCAGGTCTGCCAGTGATGCAAGCAAGCTTTTATCCTCACCGCTGTTTGCTGTGTCCTTGTTAAACAGAGCACCTCGGATTTTAGCAATGGTCAGATACTACAGCAGCTGGGCACGGGGGGCGTCCATGCCATCAAAGGCATGCCCAAGTCCATGCCATCAAAGGAAGACTTTCGCCGTTCTTCTCGTCTCCCTACATTTGGACCAGAACCGAATGGCCTTGTCTACTCCCAAAAGTTGTGTGGTGTTAGCTACACCCACCAAGCTGAGAAAGCACAATGCCCCAGGGCAGATGCAGTTATACCACTATCATGCATTCCTATGGGAGGGGGAATAAGGACATTTTCACTATAAAGGCATCGCTAGGATTGGCAAAACTCTTTAATAGAGACGCAGCTCATCCCAACACAAAATTCAGCCACCTCCCAGAAAGCTTGACCAGCAGAAGGGATCTTTGGTGGCATACGCTGGAGGACAACGGTCTTTGGGAGAATCTGGTATCTTTTATTAGGCCTACTTAAAGAGCTGGAATTTTTTTTGGCAGGTGTTCATTGCTACAGGTATGTTGTCTGTGGGTGTGAATCGCCTTGTTTCTTAACCAACGCAGCCCTCTGTAGCATCAGTCTGGCCTAAGACCATACCAGTATAAGCATTTTTATACTGCATCAACACTGAGGATTGTACCAGCATAGGTATACCAACAAAAACCTCACCCCCCTGACTGCTGTAGCTATACGGTACAAAGTCTGTGTAGACCAGATAGAAGAACAGCGGCAATCTGAGAGTGCTGTTCGTTCAGAGTAAAGCTTGCGACTAGCGAGACAAAGACAAGGCTAGGTTTATAAGGTGTTTTAACTGCTCGGCAAATGCTGTCCACCCAAGAGGCCACCAAATCTCCACAAAGAGACGCTGTAATCCTGACGTCCAGCTGCACGTGGATAACCCGAGTGATCCCAAAACATTAGGCAGAGATGTGGAAAGTGTCCAGTATCCCAAAGCGCAGGGAAAACACAAGTTTCTTTCTCTAGCTCTTTGGGGAGCGTCAGCTTCCTAGGAACTGCTTTAACATTTGTCTCTTTGATGACGGTGCACGTGCTCGTGACTCCAATCGAGGAGGTGTCTGCTCTGAACGAGAAACTCGGGAAGCCAAACCAAACCAGACCACCTCTCCCCCGCTGTTTCAGAGAAAGTTTATCCTCCTAATGGAAAGGTGTGGTTCTTTCACATCTTTGCTCATGAGTTGATATTTCTGCTTTCAAACGACTGGCTTGGCACCTCCCCTCCCAACAACACTACAAATCATTCAGGAGTTACCACTTTGCATCGATGCTTTTAATGAGCCAGGGAACAACACAAGCGTCTCTGTACAACATAATTAAATAAATGGGGTTTAAGTAAATGGCAAGACTTTGCAGGTTATATTTTGGTTGAAAACAGCTGGTATGCAAAGAAAGGAGCATTGAGGACGAGGGATGGTCAACAAAGGCATTTCACAGAATGCAAAACACTAAAACTTTTCCTATCGCACAAATAGTAACACACTGAGGCTGCAAGCGGCTTCTCTTGGATTCGGAAGCACACGCGTGGGGAGACTGTTTTTGTTTCTCTAGCCTGCATGACAAAATATTTTACATGGAAGCCCCAAAAAAAGTTTCAAAGAGAACCGCTTGTCCTCAGGAAAGAAATAAATACTTCAGAGATGGGGAAAGTCAACATGGGACATCTTGCTCAACCAGCTCAGTGATTGCAGGGCTCTCTGTCCCCTGGCGCCAGAGGAGGACAGCGCAGGAGGTTTCAAAACGGAGCCTGACAAGTGGTCAGGAATGCAAAATGTCTGTTTGGCTCAGAGTTGTAGGACTACTCGTTCTCGGACTAGCTCCCCGCGCCCGCTGCCAGCTCCTCCTAGTGATACCTGAGCTGGTCCAAGTGTCTCAACATTCAGTTGTCTGCCTGAATCCACTATTTACAACGCTGTCTTCATGCCAACCTTGTACACGTTTGGTCTCTCGAACAAATCCTACCAATACAAGGGTTTTCTTTTGTTCTTTTTCCAGCTTCACATTAAGTTAACTTTGCCAGCAGTGCTGCTGCGTCCCAGGAGGCCGTTCGGATGCAGCAAGTTCCTTGCAGAAGGAAATTCTTAGTAAACCCAACTTTCAGCGCAGGTCCTTATCACCAGCTTGTCTGGTTGTACCAAGGAGCCACAGCTACTGCTGGACTTCGGGACCCGTGAATGAAAAGTTCCTAAATTCTTCTTGGTTAATCATTGGAAGAATTTCCTCTTCGACAGGAGTGAGAACGGCCTCTTCTTTGGTAAAATCTGGATCGAAATTGCTAACGTCCTCTTTGGATTTCTGTCAAACAGAAAGAGGCAATAAAGAGATGTCAAAAACACGTGCCCTTGTTTCTATACTCTTGTCTGCACCTTGTTTCCCACCTTGAATGGACCAGGTTTCTGCCTCCAAGGAGCGCCCAGGTGCTCTGCACCTTGCTTCAGAGGCCTTGTGCTATAAGGCAGGGGCACTCAACCTCCAGCTCTCTGGTCAGATCCAGCCCCCAGTGCTGTGTCGCTGGTCTGCAGGGCTTCTTGCGGGTCTGGAAATACGGTGACAGAAGAGCGGTGGCACTGCTCCTCCACCACCAAATTTCTGGAGCCGTGGGAAGCCCTGCACACTAGGCTCTCGGCATCTGATCCCAGCACAAGAGGGGGAAGGGGTGGTGCTGTCTCCCTGGGACCCAATCCTGGCACGTGGATAATAATAGCACCCAGAAACCCCAGCAGGGATCGGTGACCCCAGGCACGCAGGGATGGATGCCCTGAAGAACTTGACACGGTGGACAAAGGATGAGGGAAAGGGAAGGATCATTACCCCCATTTCACATGTGGGAAGTAAAGCTCAGAGAGTACCTAAGCTCTTTTAAACATCTTCATCTCTAGGGGCATTTTTACACATAAGCACCGCAGCGCTGGGATGCCGAGAATGGTACAAGCGGCGAAATGCATGTCAGCCAGCGCTGAGAAAACGGCGGTGGCACGCTTTTGAACTAAAACGTGTAGGAGGTGCTTTAGTTCAAAAGCACCCTGCTGCCATTTTCTGTGCACCAATGTGCACTTTGCCGCTTATACAACTGCATACGACGCAGCGCAGCGCACGTCAGCTCGCGTGCGGAGCAGACTTGCTCCGAAGCACCGGATCTCTGGTGAGTCGCGGGACCAAAACGTATGTGTATAAATGCCCTGGATACTTAAATACTTTTGAAAACGTCTCTCAGAGCAATCAAGCATCTTGCTGGGGAGGCCGGGACTGAGCTACATCCATAACTCAAGGCCACGCTCTCCCTGCATCTACATCCTTTCCCCCAGCAGCTGTCCAGATGTGTAAAGCACTTCGCCGAGGGGGGGGCTCCCCCCATCACTTACAATTCGGGGCCGGAAGGGTGGTTCCACCTGGCGCTGGTTCAGCAGGTCCCAGTCCATCTGTTTAAAATATGGGTGCCTCAGGATCGCACTCTCTCCGCCCAGCGCCTGGCTACCCAGGCGCATATTGGGGTTCTTGGTCATGAACTGCAAAACAAAAGAAATGATGGATTAATCACCAGGGCACAAGAGCAAGCGACACTGATGAGCAATGACACAATGGGCCTGTCCTGAGCTTCCCTACTGAACCGAGTGTGCCAGCCAGACTTTCCGTTTTGTTACCCCGGAGCTGCGTACAGGGACTTTGACTCATCTGCTCTGGCCGGAGCCAGGGACGTATTTGTCCTTGGCCTCTTCTATTTCAGACACAACCTTGGTTACCAGGATCATACAAGAAAGCTGAAATGCATCATCTGCAACAGGACAAACAGTGCATTCTTGTCTCCCCCCTGCAGGAATAAAAGCTCTTTATAAGGTGCCACTTGCCAGCCGGCTGGGCTTTGGCTTGGAGTCAGTTTTGAGCTGTGTCCTAAACCTCAGCCTGCTGAAGGGCAGCCAGAAAACCTGCACTTTGCTTCCTGCAGTCTCCGAGAGCAAAACAGAGGACACTGAAGAGAAGGAGGACAAGTTTTGGGTTTTGGAGGCCACGGAGAAGACAGCAGGAGCCCAAGGAAGACCAAACCTCTCAACTGAAGCGGCAGACCCTTTGGCTTTTGTGGGCAAAGCTCTCCAGGGAGTTTGATCTTCTCTGTAACTAGAGGAAAGACATTCCCAAAGAGTGGCAGTGAACCTTAGCTATAGGTATGAAGGAAAGTGGTGAGAAAAGCCACGGTTCACCCAACTGGCTTGATACCCGGGAGAGAGGCATTCGGCTTGTGGCTCTCAAATCCTGGCAAGAGCCCTGAAATCAGGGTGGCAGGTAAACTGAAAAGGGCTACAAGGGAGAGATGGGTTTTTCCCCACCCCTGGCATAACTTCTTTAAAGTCACAGAAGAATCTTTATGTCCCTCCTTCTGCTGGTATTTTTGATTCACTAGAGGGAGAGAGAAATCAGATTGCATTTTATCGGGGAAACAGCTGCTTCAGTTTGTCGACGGAAATGACCATGAAAACAAATGGGGATCGTTGGCTGAGCGGCCTTGGGAGTCAGCTCCTCTATGAAGCAACCTGGCCTCCCAACCTCCCTTAGGAGCCAGGCTGTCACTGCCTTCCCCAGCCCAGGCCCGTTTTCCATCACTTCACCCCAAATGGGACCAAAGTTAATGCTGCGGCGCCGACGGCAGCTGGTAACCTGGATCCACAAGGAACGCGGTGATGCAAAGCAGCTGCACCGCAGCTGTGACTGTCGTAGGACCCCTCCAGGCTCTCAAAGCCCCCTGGCTATGTGGTGTCTCCTGGGTAGCGAGAAAAGACAGTGGAGATCCAGCTCCCGTCCTGTCCCAAAGAGCTTTCTGCTCTGTCAAAGGCCCACCCACGTGCAGGGGGGCTGGACCTGAGGATGTGTAAGGTCCCTTCCAGCCCCAAACAACTATTAAACTATGAAAGGAAACGCGCCGTTTGCAGACTCCCCTTGGACTACTTCAACCCCCCTGACAGCCCCCATCCCAAACCATTTCTAAATCAGTGACGGCCACAGCAAACACCGCTCCAAGGCCCAGGTCAGCAAAGGACCAGAAAGTGCCTTGAACCGAACTTCTCAGGTTCACAAATCCCCTGGTTCACAAACAGATTAGAGCAGGGGTGGGCAAAATGTGGCCCGTGGGCCGGATGCGGCCCGCCAGGCCATTCTATCTGGCCCTCGGGACCCCTAAAAATTTAGAAAATTAATATTTATCTGCCCCTGGCTGCCTGTCATGCGGCCCTCGATGGCTTGCCAAAACTCAGTAAGCGGCCCTCCGCCCAAAATAACTGCCTGCCCCTGGATTAGAGAGATCCCTTGCACTGCTGCTTTGCTTCAGTGGACTCACCCCAGATCCCATGGCAAAAATAGAGGAAAAGGGGAAAAAAATGGTCTTATCTGTGTTACGGTCGCACATAAAGCTTCAACCCAGGGCTGCACCGTGGGAGGCTCTGCACACACACAGCGGCCACGTCTACACGAGACGTGGGCTGCACAGTTGTTACACCTCAGTTGTTACTGCGCAGTCATTTCGTACCTGGGTGTGCAAGAACTTGGGTGTGCAAGTACTAAATGTGCAGCAACCGGTGTCACTGTGCAGTAGTGTCCCTGCATGACTCCGTGGGGACACTGACTGTGCAGCAGCTCATTACTACTGCACAGCAGCATTGCATCCTGGGTCGTGCCCTGCGACACTATTGCACAGTAGTAACGAGCTGCTGCGCAGTAAGTGCCTCGTGTAGACGTGGCCAGCGTGAGACGGTCTTGGGCCTGAGAGAGCTGACCATTAAAATGGACACGGGAAGGGACTGAGGGGAACGGCAGGTGCCTGGAGGCCAAGTGAGCAGCTGAGAAGGTGGGTCTGGTACTCTGTTTGCTGCGCTGGGCGGCCCTGCACAAAGCAAAACCCAAAAGATGCGGGGGCCTGCTGAAGTTTGAGCCATGTGTTCGCACTTTGGTGTTTTGCACTTTGGCATTCAAACTGGTTTGCCCTCCCTCCAGCCAACCCCGAGTGCTGGGGGGCGGTCTGCAATCCTGTTTGCCTGTTTTACTCAGCATCCTGCCCAAATTGCATCAAGCAAAACCACAAATCCAGGTCCAAGATAAGTGCATTCCTGCCTGCTTTTTAATGTGGCACCTTAGATTAGATGCAAGGGGCTCGACCCCTGGAGAGAGGGCTGCGAACAATGAGTGTACGCAGAACTATTGTTCAGGTTCTCAGCTGCCTCCGGAGAGCCCACGAGACCTGCACCTGCTTAGGAAATTACAGCTGACGCGAGAAATTAGGCATCGCTAACCAGAACGTGTCTCGTGTGTTCAGTGAGGCAGGAAGGGAAAAAGACTGCGCCAATCTTGCCCATTGCTGGATGCTCTTCCAGCCCGGGGTAGCTGGGCGCGGGCGAGGAATCGCTGCCAAGCACATACGTGGGCTGCCGCTGAAATCCTTCGGAGCCGAACCTTGCTCCAGAAGGAAACGAGCTGGGCTGGTGGATACCTGAGCAATGGGCCCTCTTCTCCTGTCCTTGACGTTTTATGGATAAATTCAGCTCTGCCGCCTGGTCTCGTTTTGTAAGAAAGGGTCTTCAAAGGGTGAGCTCGCTGGGGCCGAGGTGACAAACCTGAAGCTTAAATACGTCTTTGTGTTTCTCTCAATAAAAGGCCTGTTTCTCACACAGAGAGAGGCCCCTTTCCAGCACTCAGGCAGCACATTGCGGCCCTAAAAGTGAATATAAAAAAAATGCATTCTCCCAAGCCAGTTCTGCACTATAAAAGTGGAAATTTAAGCGAGAATTGAGTTGATAATGTTTTTTAAAAATAGGCAGAATATTATTTCGAAGGACAGTTGCAGTCTCATGCGACTGCATCCTTCTCTGATTTTTTTGCTTTTGGACTGTCTCTCTAGTTCAACAAAATCCTTTTTCTTCCATTTTACACTACTCATTGGCAGTTACTTATGTTCAGGGCACCCAAACCACCCCAGCTGATTACACAGGCTGTAGGAGAGGCTGATGTCTGTCTCTCTGTACTCTGGGCCTATGACAAAAAGCACCATATTTTCCATTTCTAGCCTTTCAGTGCCTGTAATCTTGTGATTTCTTGTGAAATGGCATGGTTGTGACTAAAAGGATATGGTTGGGCTATTTTATATGGGAAATTGTTGGGGTTAACTTGGTATTTGGCATCTGAATGGAAAAATGTAGCATACTAACAGTGACTGTTACTAACTCTGAACGCTGATGTTTGGCACTACACCAGAGTTATGCATCGCTATCATATGACACACTTCAAATTAAAAGCTGAAATTTCCAAAGTTGCCTAAGGAATCTGCATGCCCCCATCTCATTAAAATGAATAATCTAAAAGTTATCTTCTAATTCAGCCAGAAGTTACCGGTTTGATGCAGGAATTACTGAAAAAGATGCCAAGGTCCACACGATGCATAGTTAGGCTAGAGGTTCATAAGTCTCCTGGGCTGACAAATCTATGAAGGCCCCCGAAGGAAGTGCTGCAAATCCCAGTCAAAGCCTGGTTGTTATTTCTTCACTGTATTCAGGCAGTGTCAGGAGGTCCCTATGAGGGTGCTGGGGGAAATCTGGGAAATCGGTGCTTTCTAGGGATTGCAGGATCCACTCCAAACCCCAGATTCTAGATTCTCCAATAACCCATCCGGAGCCGTTCAAATAACCCAGTTTCTCTGGCTGTAATCCTTAGGGACCGTAGGATCCATAGTCTGTGACCTGTTTATCAGACAAGGCTTCCTTTCCAAATGATTTAAATAATGTTAGGCAAAACTGAAACCTGGTGCCAGGTGCTCAGATAGTGGAGCCAACATCCTTCTAACCAGAGGCCGGATGCAGACTGTAGGATGCCCCTTAAGGCAATACTTGGAGAGCGCTGGAAACTGCTGGACACAGCGATGGCAGCACGTCCTGGCACAGACATTCACTGACCACCCGCTCTAAAACCCAGCGTGGGCTTGTGAGGGATGCTTTGTGGGTGCAACCCCAGAGATGAGCCTGTGTCTACTGTTCAAGTGGGCAGACAAGGTGCTTAGGGGCATCCCAGTGGGGACAGGCTTTCGCCACTGTGCAGACCCCCCCAAGAGTGCAAGCTCCCTAATGCTACATCTACACAGCACAACGCAGTGCCATGCAAAGACCCCCAAGCTAGCTCAGGTCTAGGAAGCAAGACTCTCTTCCAGCCCTGGGCAGAGTCCTCCCAGGATGAACCGGATTACACTTTCCAGGAACTGGCTTGGTCCAGAGCTACACCGTGCTGTGCAGACATACCTGTGGGGGGGACATGATTGTGCCAAGAGAAAGACATGAGGCCTGGCCTCAGCCTGGCCTCTGGGGTTGTACCAGGAACCTGGTAAACTCTGGGGGGGAAGAGAAAGGTTGCCAAGATCTTGGCACTGTGTGAATCTGGGGAGAGGTTATAACCAGGCTGAAAGAGCTTCAGGGCTTTCTATGTCCCATCAGGTGATGGGAGCAGCTTCATAGGCACAAAGTCTTCCCTGGAAAGTAGC